AGATTGTGCAATAAACATGATTTGCAACTACTTCTCTTACCGATTTCAAATCGTCTCTGCCAATAATATCAGCAACACGACAGGACCCCTATGGCTAAGCGATTTCCTCAGCGCAGTGCTTGGCCCTATCATGTTACCTCTGTAGGTAAACAATCTAGCCATCTCCAATCTGTACTGACATTTAAAATAATTGCTGGTACAGCCCTGATGGCTTATATAAAGTCCAGAGTAGTTACAACAGTGTCTATGTGATGCCGCCGCGAAGCCGCTCGGCGGGCGCCCCATCTACGACCTCGCCACCACCAAGCGACGGGGCCGACCTCGCTTCCCCCTCACCGCCCCCCACATAAGCACACCCTCACACATTTCCCCCCCATAGAGCTCCGAGGGGAGGTCACCTGGCCAACAGGTTTTCACCCGGAAGCCCTCATAGGGATAATCTTCACGGTTTCCTGTGGCCAGGGAATTGGGCGATCTCCCCCGATGCTAATTCGCACCGCGGCGCTGTGACCTGGGTTAAGATTACATGGTCACGGCAGGGGCTATCCAGCCACCACGGTTAAAACGCACCCCCACACACGGATCGGCAGGCGGGCAGGGGGGGCGCAGCCATGAACGAAGGGAGAAACCGGGGTGGGCGGCTGATTAGCATAGCAGGTGTGCTCGTGGACCGCCGCCGGCGCCGCAGTCAGCGGCGGGCCCTTTGTTAGGGAAACCGGGAGTGGCGGCCTTCTTTGATGTGGGTTAGCCATAAAAGGGGGGCGCAGAAATGTAGAAGCCGTCTTGCTCCTGAAGTCAGCGCCCGGAACGGTCCCCAGTTCGGCCACTCGAACGTCCGTGCGACGTATCGAAGTGTGCAGAGAGGACAAGACCACCGGAGCGCCGTACGCATCGAAACTGTAAAAGGAAAGAGAGTATTGGGATTGAGGCTAGAGAAACCAAAACCGCTTAGAGCCTATCAAATTAGATAAATCGGGTACAGACCCTCGGGCTATAGTGTAGGCCTGCCTTGCCGATCCCTACTGACCCAACAGTGAATCACAGTCGGCCGATAATAAATCATTAATAACTAATCGCAGCCTCGTTTGGTTTCGACGAGCGGGTGAATGCGCGTGGTGCTGTGTGTGTGTGTGCTCGCAACGTGGGTGGTCGGTGTTTCCGCGGGTGCACGCTCCGTTCTGTCACTGTGGAGACTCGTGCTGTGTGAGGGCTCACACCCACCGTAAACACCTGTTCCACGGCCCCTTTAAACGAGCGTTATCACCCGCTCGCGGTTGCCGCGCGTGTGCGAGCAACGTCATTCGCCCTCCGACCCGACCCCCCGTTCAGAGCGTGCGATTGCTGCGCAGGGCTGTGAGGGGAGGCGTCGCGTTTGATTGGCGGAGAGGCAACGCAGTGTTTACAGGCGTCCGTGAGCCGGCGACAAGCCATGCCTCTCTCGCGAACTCACGGGGGTGCGACCCAGGGAGGGGAGCCGTCGGGCGACAGCCCTTATCCCGCGAGCGATGAGCCCAATGGCGGCAGCAGCTGTTCACACACTAGCGAGGGATCAGGAAACGACGGGACCCCTGCAGTCGGCGCCCAGCAGGGAGAGGCCTCGGGGGCCAGCGGCCCCAACATCTACAACTTAATTATTTAAAACTGTTCCTCAATGCTATGAAGACCAAAGTTATATTATTCTCCAGCTGCCCCAAACCTCTCCCACCACATATGCATATTAGAGGCTCTGGACGCACATGTTAATGAGCAGGTCAACTTTAAATATCAAGGCATTATCCTGGACTCGAAACTGTCTTTCATAAAAAAAAACTAAATTGGATTTCTATGCAGAAAAATTATATATTCCACGACTCCATATGAATATATATACTGCCGCTATCCTGCCCATGTTTGATTATTGTGATACCATCTACTGCTTCTGAATATACATTAGAATCGACGTCTCATTGCATAACACCACTGCTGTTTTGCCTTTAATGCCCCCTACAGAATTCATGTTGAACCTCTTTTGCACCGTACGTAGCCAACCTGTACATAAACTGTCCCCCCCCCCCCCCCCCCCCCGTATATCCGGATATATAACCGGGCAGTTTTCATCCTAAAGGTCCTCTTAAACAAATCTGCCAACTACCTAAAGGACTACAAAAGTGCACCTAGTTCCCTCCCGGAGCCTCAGAAATGTCTTATTCCTACTAAATATTAAATTTCTTAAAACCATTTGGTAAAGTCTTTCCGTGTTCTTGCTCCACATTACCTTGGCTCTCTCCCTTCACTCAGCCTATTTACATCCCTATGAGATCAAAACCCTGAGCTTGCATCCGTTACGAACTCTTTTCTAGCACCTCATGCTCCCAACATGTTTGCACTGTCTTTTTCGTTTTTGTATGTATTCGACCAAATATAGTTCATTTTTACACCACACTTTTTCTGGCACCTTGCTCTCATATTACATTTGCAGTTTTTTAAATTTGTATTTACGACCATTAACTACAGTATTTGTTCGTAGTGCAAGTCGCTAGTTGTGTAATATTCCTTTAGGACCCTGTACTCGTTCTCTGAAATAGTCGTTCTCGTCTTTGTTTTGTTGTTTGTGCTGTGTTCACACACCACGGATCTCCCTTGTAAAAATAAACCCAAGTTGCAGCGGCCAAGACTCGCGCTGCAGTGTCAGGGCGAGCTGCACTAAACATCCACGTACGAGCAGAGTGAAAGATGAAACCGTTGTGAACAACCACCGCCGTTCACGTTTACCTGTCGAGATGGTGTGGGCTGTGCCTAGGGGGAGCGAGGTAACCCCAAACCATGGTTTTACCGGAGCACATTTACACGTGGAATTATAATTCCGTTTAATGGGCAAGTTGAGATAACGGGCGGTTTCAATACTAAGAGCAACATCTTCCTCACCAGGTCTCCACCAAGTATGAGGCATAACTTGGCTTGCGCCATTTTAATTTGACCAAGTGACAATTCCCGAACACAAATCGCTTCCATAGCAGCCAAAGCGGACCCTGCGCCACAGCGGGAACAACGCTAGGAAGAAGAAAAAAATCGCTTCCATAGCAGCCGTCGTGTGCCCCGATTTGTGCCGCGTTTATCCCACGGCCGAGCCTCGACAGCGACAGTCACGCATTGCCACCTTAAGCTGTGCCACCTTGAGAATACAAGGCGTTCAGGAATCTTACCAGGCAGGCGTACGTCTCACACCGGGTTGCAAGGTAACAGCTGTTGAATGTACGCATTCGCTGTCGGTCCCTTTTGATTTCCACACAACTTTTATTTGAATGTTAAACGGCACTTTATCCAATCAAAGAAGTCGATGGGAAACTAAAAGTAACCAACAGTAAAAAAAAAAGTTCTTTTATTTTCCTGCGATTGTTAATGGAATCAGCCACATGAGACACGCCACCGCTGCCGCCGCCACACCGTCAAGCAGAACATAAACACGGGCGATTTACAAAATCTACTTCTTGTCGAAACAATACACAATGCCGAAACCTTAGCCTTTTTTTTGTTTATGATCACCGAGGCCGCCCGCCAACACGACTTTCCATGGCGCATCACGGCGATGCCAAGAACTCAAACTCCACACATGTGCCACCGAGCGCGGCCAACTGCGAATGTGTGAAGCGAACAAGAGAATACCGTGGGTAGACGACACACTAGGATGGTTTAGGATCCTGCAAGGGAGAGGTAACGAGGCGAGTGATGGGGACTGGTTGTCTCAGCAGGGACAGGGCTAGAGTCGTTAGACCAGCGAGGGTTTTACAGCAGGTGGACTGCTGAGGCAGTCTTTCTTCCTGCCTGAGCAGTCCGCCTGCTGTATTTTTTCACCTGAAGACGACTGCTTGTGTTGCGATCAAAACGTCGTGATTTTTTATTTTATAATTTTTCTATCTACGTGACTTTACCGAAAGACCCAAAGATTATTAATTCCTGCAGTCACGAAAGCTTTAAGTCAACAGTTATAGTGTTGTTTAACACGAAGGCTTTCGCGACCAATATCATCCATAAGAGGTTTTTTGGGTTAGATAGCATAAATATTTAAATGTGTCGCTAAAACCCACCACCAACCGACACAGCCAACTAGCAAGGGTTGTCATGTAAACAGAACGTGCCAATTCGTCATGAGTACAGCACACCCGGTGTGTTGGAGAGCCAAGCCACAACATTGTAAATGTTGCTTGTTGGCTGTGTCGGGTGGTGGCGGGTTTTAACGACACATTTATATATTTATACATGATCTAACCCAACAACCTCTATTATGGAGTTATAGTGTAGTTCGTGGTGGTAGGGTCTGGCTGCTCGAGTAGTTACAGGCAGGGATGTTTAGTTGTGCAGCAGTGCTCACCCCCCTAAGCTTCACCCTCTCCCAGTCTCCCCTTATCAAGCGTGGCCTGTTCACCATTCGTCAAGGCCCCCTTCAACGAAGACGACGAACTCTGCCAGGTTTGTGAACTCGCGTGAACCAAGACCAGGGCGGCCCAAGCCTCATCCACACGCAACTCTGCTTAACCCAACACCAGCTGCCCCAACCACCAGGAGCCGACAGCTCCATCCCCCATCTACCTCGGGCATCTTCCCTATCTCTTCCACGCGAGGGGGTGGAGGGCAGCTGCGAGCGACTCTCCACATCCCGGAAAAAAAACTTCAGGACCGCGTGCATTCAGACGGAAGAGGGGGGCAGTGGAGTGGAGCGGTGGCCACAGTCGGCTCTCTTTCTACACGATCCACCCGCCCTCCACGGGAACCAACCTCCGCACAGTGGGGGGAGGTCATTGCTGCACGTTCCGTGGGAGTGGGGGTTGGGCCACACGGTGGCGCCGGCCTAGTCGGCGAATCTCCCAACTCTCGGTTACCCCTCAACATTCACTCGCAGTGACGTGGTACGATCTCCTACGGCTATGTAACACACCCCGGGTTGGGGGGGGGTATAACAAACCGCTCAGACAAGTGCGGAGACCTTTAGTGTCATATCTACGTACTCTCCGCAGTCCCTCGTGTGTGTGCGTCTATGCGTTTTTATTTATATATATATACCTGTAGAGTACAAATGATGAGACTGATTTATGTGTGGAAGGTTTTTCCTTACAGACTGTCCACACACATGCATGTCCTACGCATGCCTTCACACATGGCGAGCATCCCACAACCCCAAAACCAGAAACTCGATATTCACAGCCTACTCGCGCACGACGCACTACACACGATACGGGGCCCCCAAATTCACAAACCCAACATGCACACCCTATGTACACACACGAGCCTCGCATCACAAGTGGCTTCCATATATGAACCGAACAGTCTCGCACAACCCGAAACAACTCAGCCACACTCCAGGTTCCCACTTTAACATAGCTACATCACACGGGCCCCCCACACATACAAGGGTGGGGGGGGAGGGGGTCTGGGGAGCAGGACAGCATGAGGGCGCCGCCCTGAGCACCAAAAGCAGAGCGGCGGCACGGGCGTTAGCGCTGGTCGCCGCTCCCCGTTCCGAAACTCTCAAAGTCTGCAGTTTTCGTTTCCATAAAGAACGACGCTCATATGGCGCCACTGCCCATCCGCACTGTCTCGCCACCGCCACCGATAATCCGTGCGAGTATTGTACAGAGCTGTCGGCGCCTGCGAGCAGCAACGGCATCTCCTCCAGAAGTCAGGGACAATGAGCCACAGACAGAGTCACTCAGGTTGATCGGAACGTGAACTAGAGGAGTGAGCCACAAAACGTCCTCAGTTGATGGTGCTGCCCTTGAAGGCAGCGGTGGCTCCGGGGTCCAGCGGCTGGCGCTTGACGAGCTTGGCCGGGCCAGCAGTGCCAGCGTGCACCGCCGCGGCCTTGCGGTCGGCATGGAGGATGCGGCTCGCCTCCTGCTCCAGCACCTCGGAGGGAGTGAGCGGCTCCAGCTCGCCCCGGACCTGCCCCCCCGGGGCACCCTCGTTGCTCACCTCCTTGGCCCCCTCCTCGTAGCCAGCCCTCCCCTCGCCACGGTCCCCTCCTCCACTGTCATCCTCGGTGTGGTCACTCTCCTCGTCGGCTCCTCCCCCATCCTCGCCGCCAGCACCACCGTCACCATCCCCATCCTCGCCCTCACCATCTCCCCCATCATCTCCACCCTCATATTTTCCATCTTCGTCTTCAGCATCTCCATCTTCGTCTTCAGCATCTCCACCGTCTTCATCAGCATCACCACCCTCTTCACCTACATCTTCATCAACATCAGCAATATTTTCAGTTCCAACATCTTCACCATTAACCGCTCTCTCCTCTTCCTCTACATCTCCATTCTCATCACCATCTTCATCAGCAAAGTCACCCACCCCTTCACCATCAACATCACTGTCCTCTTCTCTTTCATCAACACCAACCTCATCGACATCACCTAAATCTTCACCATCACCAACCTCATCACCATCACCACCTTCCCCTTCATCAACATCACAATCCAGATCTTCACGTCCCTCATTTCCACCCACCTTATCACCATCACCACCCTCTTCGTCACCATGCCCACTCTCTTCATCTTCATTAACATCTCCATCCACCTCGCTACGATCCCCACCCTCATTTCCACCCACCTCATCACCTTCTTCACCCTCCATGTCACCATGCCCACTCTCTTCTTCATCTTCATTAACATCTCCACCCACCTCGCTACGATCCCCACCCTCCTCATCGCCACCCATCTCTTCACCGTCACCTTGCCCTTCATCAGCATCACCTCTCTCCTCGTCGCCGGCCCCATGCTGCTCCCCATCATTGCGGCGGTGCGGTGGTGCGGGTCGTCCCTCCTCCTCAACCTCGCCGCCGCCGCTGCCGTCGTCGTCACGGTCGCTCCTCTCCGATGCGCATCCCGAGCGGCTGTCCTCCTCCTCCCCCGAACGCTCCGTCTCCACCTGGGAGGCGTCACTGATGGGCGAGTACCGAGGCTTCCCCTCCACTTCCTGCTGCTCCTGGTCCTCCTCCACCGCCGCCAAGTCTGCCCCCAATCCCTTCACACCGCCGTCTCCTCGCTGCATCACTTCGTCGTCTGACTCGCAGCAGCCCTCCAGCCCGGCCTCCTCGTCCTCGCTGGCGAGGGGGGAGCCCCGCGCCTCCTCCTCCGCCTCCTCAATGGTGCCCGTGATGCCACCCTGCTCCTCCACCTCCTCCTCCACCTGCTGCTGCCGCCGCCATTGCCGCTGCTTGCCGGCATCGCCGTCCCGCTCAATCCCCGCGCCGGCCGCCTCCGTTGTGCTATTAGCAGCGGACGAAAGCCCCTCGCTGGCGCCACTTTCGCCGCCGCTATTCCCCTGGGCCAGAGCAACAGGCGATCTGCTCCGCCGCCGAGCGTCGTCTCCACCTGGTCGAGGCTCCCGCCGCTCGTCCTGGGGCTCCAGCACTGTGTGGCCACTTGCCCTGGTGGCCACCGCTGCCGTGCTGCCGCCCCGGGGCTTGAGGAAGCCGAGCGAGATGCGCAGTTTGGGCACGGCGTTCGCCTCCACCACCTCCTCCTCCTCCACGGGCGTCGCCTTGAGCGCCGGGGTCACGCTCACCTCGGTGAGCTCAGTGTCCGAGTCCGAGTCCAGCACAATCACCTCGTCACTAAGGCAAAGACAAGGAGCCCGAATGCTACAATTATCACACCCTGCTCGCATTCACTCCACACCGCCCTTCACCCCCAAGCCTCATTTACCTCTAACCCCTAGCCGTGGCCGTGATGCCATACCTTGATTTTGCCGCCACTTTCCCCGCTCCAGGCCGTGACTGTTGGGAGACAAAGACAAGTGAGCACAGTGAGTGTGGAGAGCAAGGGGAGCACGAGCAGCACGGGGAGCACGAGGAGCAAGGGGAGCACGGGGAGCACGAGGAGCACGGGGAGCACGAGGAGCAAGGGGAGCACGGGGAGCACGGGGAGCCAGGGGAGCACGGGGAGCACGGGGAGCACGGGGAGCACGGGGAGCAAGGGGAGCACGGGGAGCAAGGGGAGCACGGGGAGCAAGGGGAGCACGGGGAGCAAGGGGAGCACGAGGAGCACGAGGAGCAAGGGGAGCACGAGGAGCATGGGGAGCACGGGGAGCACGAGGAGCACGAGGAGCAAGGGGAGCACGAGGAGCACGGGGAGCAAGGGGAGCACAGGGAGCAGGGGGGGCACGAGGAGCACGAGGAGCACGGGGAGCACGAGGAGCAAGGGGAGCACGAGGAGCACGAGGAGCAAGGGGAGCACGAGAAGCAAGGGGAGCACAAGGAGCAAGGGGAGCAAGGGGAGCACGAGGAGCAAGGGGAGCACAGGGAGCACGGGGAGCACGAGGAGCACGAGGAGCAAGGGGAGCACGAGGAGCAAGGGGAGCAAGGGGAGCACGAGGAGCAAGGGGAGCACGGGGAGCAAGGGGAGCACAAGGAGCAAGGGGAGCACGAGGAGCAAGGGGAGCACAAGGAGCAAGGGGAGCAAGAGGAGCACGAGGAGCACGGGGAGCACGAGGGGCACGAGGAGCAAGGGGAGCACGAGGAGCAAGGGGAGCAAGGGGAGCACGGGGAGCACGAGGAGCACGGGGAGCAAGGGGAGCACGGGGAGCAAGGGGAGCACGAGGAGCACGAGGAGCAAGGGGAGCACGAGGAGCAAGGGGAGCACGAGGAGCAAGGGGAGCACGGGGAGCACGGGGAGCACGAGGAGCAAGGGGAGCACGGGGAGCAAGGGGAGCAAGGGGAGCAAGGGGAGCACGAGGAGCACGAGGAGCAAGGGGAGCACGAGGAGCAAGGGGAGCACGGGGAGCAAGAGGAGCAAGGGGAGCACAGGGAGCACGGGGAGCAAGGGGAGCACGAGGAGCACGGGGAGCACGGGGAGCAAGGGGAGCACGAGGAGCAAGGGGAGCAAGGGGAGCACGGGGAGCAAGGGGAGCACGAGGAGCAAGGGGAGCACGGGGAGCAAGGGGAGCACGAGGAGCACGAGGAGCAAGGGGAGCACGAGGAGCAAGGGGAGCACGGGGAGCAAGGGGAGCAAGGGGAGCACGATGAGCACGGGGAGCAAGGGGAGCACGGGGAGCACGAGGAGCACGAGGAGCACGGGGAGCACGAGGAGCAAGGGGAGCAAGGGGAGCACGAGGAGCACGGGGAGCAAGGGGAGCACGGGGAGCATGGGGAGCAAGGGGAGCACAGGGAGCAAGGGGAGCACAGGGAGGAAGGGGAGCACGAGGAGCACGGGGAGCAAGGGGAGCACAGGGAGCACGGGGAGCAAGGGGAGCACGGGGAGCACGAGGAGCACGGGGAGTACGAGGAGCACGGGGAGCAAGGGGAGCACAGGGAGCAAGGGGAGCACAGGGAGCAAGGGGAGCACGAGGAGCACGGGGAGCACAGGGAGCACGGGGAGCAAGGGGAGCACGGGGAGCACGAGGAGCACGGGGAGCACGAGGAGCACGGGGAGCAAGGGGAGCACCGGGAGCAAGGGGAGCACAGGGAGCAAGGGGAGCACGGAGAGCACGAAGAGCACGGAGAGCACGAGGAGCATGGGGAGCAAGGGGAGCACGAGGAGCAAGGGGGGCACAGGGAGCACAGGGAGCACGGGGAGCACGAGGAGCAAGGGGAGCAAGGGGAGCACGAGGAGCACGGGGAGCATGGGGAGCAAGGGGAGCACGGGGAGCAAGGGGAGCACGGGGAGCACGGGGAGCAAGGGGAGCACGGGGAGCAAGGGGAGCGCGAGGAGCACGAGGAGCACGGGGAGCACGAGGAGCAAGGGGAGCACAGGGAGCACGAGGAGCACGAGGAGCAAGGGGAGCACAGGGAGCACGAGGAGCACAGGGAGCACGAGGAGCAAGGGGAGCACGAGGAGCAAGGGGAGCACGAGGAGCAAGGGGAGCACGAGGAGCAAGGGGAGCACGAGGAGCAAGGGGAGCACGAGGAGCACGAAGAGCACGAGAAGCACGGGGAGCAAGGGGAGCAAAGGGAGCACGAGGAGCAAGGGGAGCACGGGGAGCAAGGGGAGCACAGGGAGCAAGGGGAGCACAGGGAGCAAGGGGAGCACGAGGAGCACGGGGAGCAAGGGGAGCACGGGGAGCAAGGGGCGCACGAGGAGCAGGAGCAAGGGGAGCACAGGGAGCACGGGGAGAACAAGGAGCACGAGGAGCAAGGGGAGCAAGGGGAGCACAGGGAGCACGGGGAGCACGAGGAGCACGAGGAGCAAGGGGAGCACAAGGAGCACGGGGAGCACGGGGAGCACGAGGAGCACGAGGAGCAAGGGGAGCACAGAGAGCATGGGGAGCACGAGGAGCAAGGGGAGCAAGGGGAGCACGGGGAGCACAGGGAGCACGAGGAGCACGAGGAGCACGAGGAGCAAGGGGAGCACGGGGAGCAAAGGGAGCAAGGGAAGCACGGGGAGCACGAGGAGCAAGGGGAGCACGGGGAGCAATGGGAGCACGGGGAGCACGAGGAGCAAGGGGAGCACGAGGAGCAAGGGGAGCAAGGGGAGCACGGGGAGCACGGGGAACATGAGGAGCAAGGGGAGCACGGGGAGCAAGGGGAGCACGAGGAGCAAGGGGAGCAAGGGGAGCACGAGGAGCAAGGGGAGCACGAGGAGCAAGGGGAGCACGGGGAGCAAGGGGAGCACGGGGAACACGAGGAACAAGGGGAGCACGGGGAGCAAGCGGAGCACGAGGAGCAAGGGGAGCACGGGGAGCACAGGGAGCACGGGGAACACGGGGAGCACGGGGAACACGAGGAGCAAGGGGAGCACGAGGAGCAAGGGGAGCACGGGGAGCACGGGGAGCAAGGGGAACACGAGGAGCACGGGGAGCACGGGGAGCAAGGGGATCACGGGGAGCACGAGGAGCAAGGGGAGCACGAGGAGCAAGGGGAGCACGGGGAGCACGGGGAGCAAGGGGAGCACGGGGAGCACGGGGAGCACGGGGAGCACGGGGAGCAAGGGAAGCACGGGGAGCACGAGGAGCAAGGGGAGCACAGGGAGCAAGGGGAGCACGAGGAGCAAAAGGAGCACGGGGAGCACGGGGAGCAAGGGGAGCACGAGGAGCAAGGGGAGCACGAGCAGCACGGGGAGCAAGGGGAGCACGGGGAGCAAGGGGAGCACGGGGAGCAAGGGGAGCACGAGGAGCAAGGGGAGCACGGGGAGCACGGGGAGCAAAGGGAGCAAGGGAAGCACGGGGAGCACGAGGAGCACGAGGAGCAAGGGGAGCACAGGGAGCACAGGGAGCACGAGGAGCACGAGGAGCACGAGGAGCAAGGGGAGCACGGGGAGCACGGGGAGCAAGGGGAGCACAGGGAGCACGGGGAGCACGAGGAGCAAGGGGAGCACAGGGAGCACGGGGAGCACGAGGAGCACGAGGAGCACGGGCAGCAAGGGGAGCACAGGGAGCACGAGGAGAACGAGGAGCAAGGGGAGCACGGGGAGCACAGGGAGCACGAGGAGCACGGGGAGCAAGGGGAGCAAAGGGAGCAAGGGGAGCACGGGGAGCACGGGGAGCACGGGGAGCACGGGGAGCACGGGGAGCACGGGGAACACGAGGAGCAAGGGGAGCACGGGGAGCAAAGGGAGCACGGGGAGCAAGGGGAGCACGAGGAGCAAGGGGAGCACGAGGAGCAAGGGGAGCACGGGGAGCAAGGGGAGCACGGGGAACATGAGGAGCAAGGGGAGCACGGGGAGCAAGGGGAGCACGAGGAGCAAGGGGAGCACGGGGAGCAAGGGGAGCACGAGGAGCAAGGGGAGCACGAGGAGCAAGGGGAGCACGGGAGCAAGGGGAGCACGGGGAGCACGGGGAACACGAGGAGCAAGGGGAGCACGGGGAGCAAGGGGAGCACGAAGAGCAAGGGGAGCACGGGGAGCACGGGGAACACGGGGAGCACGGGGAGCACGGGGAACACGAGGAGCAAGGGGAGCACGAGGAGCAAGGGGAGCACGGGGAGCACAGGGAGCAAGGGGATCACGGGGAGCACGAGGAGCAAGGGGAGCACGAGGAGCAAGGGGAGCACGGGGAGCACGGGGAGCACGAGGAGCACGAGGAGCACGAGGAGCACGGGGAGCACGGGGAGCACGGGGAGCACGGGGAGCAAGGGGAGCACGGGGAGCACGAGGAGCAAGGGGAGCACAGGGAGCAAGGGGAGCACGAGGAGCAAGGGGAGCACGGGGAGCACGGGGAGCACGGGGAGCACGGGGAGCAAGGGGAGCAAGGGGAGCACGGGGAGCAAGGGGAGCACGGGGAGCACGGGGAGCCAGGGGAGCAAGGAAAGCAAGGGGAGCACGGGGATCCAGGGGAGCAAGGGGAGCACGGGGAGCACGGGGAGCAAGGGGAGCACGGGGAGCAAGGGGAGCACGAGGAGCAAGGGGAGCACGGGGAGCAAGGGGAGCACGAGGAGCAAGGGGAGCACGAGGAGCAAGGGGAGCACGGGGAGCAAGGGGAGCACGGGGAGCACGGGGAACACGAGGAGCAAGGGGAGCACGGGGAGCAAGGGGAGCACGAAGAGCAAGGGGAGCACGGGGAGCACGGGGAACACGGGGAGCACGGGGAGCACGGGGAACACGAGGAGCAAGGGGAGCACGAGGAGCAAGGGGAGCACGGGGAGCACAGGGAGCAAGGGGATCACGGGGAGCACGAGGAGCAAGGGGAGCACGAGGAGCAAGGGGAGCACGGGGAGCACGGGGAGCACGAGGAGCACGAGGAGCACGAGGAGCACGGGGAGCACGGGGAGCACGGGGAGCACGGGGAGCAAGGGGACCACGGGGAGCACGAGGAGCAAGGGGAGCACAGGGAGCAAGGGGAGCACGAGGAGCAAGGGGAGCACGGGGAGCACGGGGAGTACGGGGAGCACGGGGAGCAAGGGGAGCAAGGGGAGCACGGGGAGCAAGGGGAGCACGGGGAGCACGGGGAGCCAGGGGAGCAAGGAAAGCAAGGGGAGCACGGGGAGCCAGGGGAGCAAGGGGAGCACGGGGAGCACGGGGAGCAAGGGGAGCACGGGGAGCAAGGGGAGCAAGGGGAGCACGGGGAGCAAGGGGAGCACGAGGAGCACGAGGAGCACGGGGAGCACAGGGAGCACGGGGAGCAAGGGGAGCACGGGGAGCACGAGGAGCACGGGGAGCACGAGGAGCACGGGGAGCAAGGGGAGCACGGGGAGCAAGGGGAGCACAGGGAGCAAGGGGAGCAAGGAGAGCACGAAGAGCACGGAGAGCACGAGGAGCATGGGGAGCAAGGGGAGCACGAGGAGCAAGGGGGGCACAGGGAGCACAGGGAGCACGGGGAGCACGAGGAGCAGGGGGAGCAAGGGGAGCACGAGGAGCACGGGGAGCATGGGGAGCAAGGGGAGCACAGGGAGCAAGGGGAGCACGGGGAGCACGGGGAGCAAGGGGAGCACGGGGAGCAAGGGGAGCACGAGGAGCACGAGGAGCAAGGGGAGCACGGGGAGCACGAGGAGCAAGGGGAGCACAGGGAGCACGAGGAGCACGAGGAGCAAGGGAGCACAGGGAGCACGAGGAGCACAGGGAGCACGAGGAGCAAGGGGAGCACGAGACAGGGGAGCACGAGAGCAAGGGGAGATCACGAGGGACAAGGGGAGCACTAGGAGCAAGGGGAGCACGAGACACGAAGAGCACGAGAAGCACGGGGAGCAAGGGGATCAAAGGGAGCACGAGGAGCAAGGGGAGCAACGGGGAGCAAGGGGAGCACAGGAGCAGGGGAGCACAGGGGAGCAAGGGGAGCACGAGGAGCACGGGACAAGGGGAGCACGGGAGCAAGGGCGCACGGGAGCAGCAAG